TAACAATCTAAGAATCGTACCATGGCAGAATAATTGCTTTTTAGAAACCTATCGAATGGTTGGGAAGGGGGGAGAGATGGGGTGGAATTTCACCTCCTCATCGTATACCTAACCTAACTTAGACAAACAGATGCACAGTAGACTGGGTGATAGCGAAACCTGGAAGAAAGTGAATGCGGAGAGTAAGTAGTTAGACTTTTCTTTTAACGATAAGACGCTTCCTGCCACATGTTTTACCTGAAAAGAGGAATGTCGCATTTTAATTGGAATTAGTCTAGCAAAGAGAATAATTTAGGAGGCATACTGCTACTCCACTGACAAGAAATGAATTTGCTCTATCACAGCGCAGACACACGAGCACACCCACATGCACGCACTCACGCAGGCACGCACGCACACTTTCGTGTCACGGCGTTTTTCGCCACTTGGTCGTCACTCCACATGGACCCATTGCCGTACACCTACCTACGTCGAGGTTCTCAAGTCCCCGACAATGTCCCCTCCAGAGCAGCACAACTACTCGTCTACCCATCTCCTCTCACCTACCCACCCTCCACACCCGTGGTGACACCGCAGAAGCGTGTCAATCTATCCCCTCGATTCAAACGTCTGCTGGCCATAGCCACTGCGCTGCCACTGCTTGCTCTCATTCTCGTCATCTGCACCACCCTCTCACCACATTGGGAGCGTGTGCACTTCCTGTTCCACCGCCTCATCCAACGAGCCTGTTCGCAGCAGGAGAAGATGACATGGCTACTGGCACACGTGGAATTGGAGGGAGTTGGGGTTGGTGGGGTGAGGCTGTTTGACAACCAGACGAGGTGGGAGATGTGTCAGCGATGGAAAGAGGCACCGCCAACCATCGTGGGAGTGTGCATCTACAATGGCAGTGAACAGAATGCCACAGTGATTGAGGTGTTGAATGTGTTGGGAGGAGCGTTCCAAATGTGCAAGGGGAAGCTGGGTGAGTGTGTTTGCCTCCTTGCGTTATCACTGCCTCGTGGGTGTGCACAACAGTCATCAAGCCTAATTATTATTAGTGTGTGCATAAACTCTGTGGTCACTTGCGAAGTGTCCACCTCACACGTGTTTTATGGTCTGCGTTAGTAGCTGTCAGGGTTGCACATGTGTGTGGTATCTTCTACTTTTAGCTGGGGTAGGGAACACAATCGTGTATCTTATAGTTGTGTTAATTTTATGACATAGGCTGCATCAATCCTAAATATAAATAAATAAATATAGCAAGATGATGACTATTTTTAGTTGGTCATGTCTTAATGGCAAGCATATTGTGGCGTCGTGGTCGATTAACTGCTAGCTTGGACAGTCATTATAACGAGGGTGCTTGCGTATTACTGTAATTGGTTTCAAATCAAACTTTTTACAGGGGAGGGCAATTTGTTTCGACAAACAAAATATTGCGGCTCTATCGGAGGAACTATAAGGGGTCTTGAGGAGACTCCCAAGCAATCCCTACGATTGAAAGCAGACAAAATGCTTCCAAATGTTAATTTGGAGGGAAAAAATGTTCGTGCTACCTGTGCCTAGTCATACAAGCTGGCATCCACCAGCAAACTCGATTAGTGGATGCAAACCCTTTTGTTTGCGTTTTTTTAGACAAAAAGGCACAAATAAATCGGCGTCAATCACACAGCACCAACCCTAGCTCTCTCACATTGATAGACGCCTGGCCTGAGAGCCATGGCGCCACAGTATGGCTTTGGGGCATACGGACGCGTAAACAACAACCGCTTCCCAACCACTGCGCATTACTGCGTTGGAGGAGGCTGCAGGCCAATTATCCTGGGTGGGACTCGACCCCCACTCTTCGGCCCCGGAAACCAACACCTTATCCATTAGGCCACCATCACGCCCCACCTGCCCAACTGGGCCAGCATACACCCCCTCCATTGTCACTCACTGACTTACCGAAAATGACTGCGCGCCCCATGGATCAGTGGGCGCAGGCACCGAATAAGCACCCGCGGTAGCACTTACCGCACAATCTTTTACTTTGAAGGCAGGAGCCCTATCCATTAGGTGATGCAAGTCTAATGGTCTTACGGCTGCTCACGGCTAACCAGCTGCTCCTGACGCTCTGTCCAGACTCATTGCCTCAACAACACACTCACGATCTCATTCACTAAAACGCATTGGTGCTGACCCTTGAAATCACCACTGGGCAAGAGGTGGCATGGATTGGTAAGGCTGTTGTGCTTTTAATTCACGACCATATGCAGTAAGACCGTAGCTGAGGTGAGGTG